AAAAAAAAAAAAAAAAAAAAAAAAGAAAAAAAAAGGAAAATGAGATGTGATTAGATATTGAAGTTAAAAAAAATTACAAGTGCCAAATTGATTTTTACTCTTTTTCGTTCTGGACAGTTCTATTGTCATTCCGCTAAGCTCAAATACAGCACACAGAAGACTTTAAACAAATAAGTAAACAAAAAAAATATATATATATAAACTTTTGCAAATAAAATATAAAAGAAACAATTATTAATTATAACCTATGTGATTTGTCTTTCCCTTTTTTCCTCTATTTTCTGTTGTCATCTTTTAAACCGTTTGATATTAGATGTTTTACCGCAGTCAATTATGTCAACTTATTTACTGCTAAAAAAGAAATATTATTCACATTTGATTCATCACAAATTTCATCTCTTCTTTAATAATAGTAACGAAAACAAAGAAAAAAACTTGGAAAAAAAAAAAGAAAAAATTTGAAGTTTTAGTATTAACTGTGTACACTCAGTACAACAAACCCCCCATCTTTTGCTTCAATCAACCACTCTTCCCCCCCTTAATTACTTCATCAATGTTACTATCTGTATTTTTGCTTCTCACGACCACTTCTCAGCAACTGTATAGTGAAGATCTGAGCAAGGAAAACAAATTGACTTCAAAGAAAGAGTAAAGTCGAAAAGTAATAATTATATAAATACTTATTTAAAAATCAAAATCACCCAAAGTATTCGATAAAAAAACTAAAGAACTGATACCCAATTATGGTATTAATCTGTGTATTTGTCATCATTATAATTGCTCGTTCAATCATTGTTTGTACAACTACCGTTAATCGTCGGCATTTGCACTGTTATTCATCTTTTGCTGTAAAGCAATATTATCATCGGTAAATTGCACCGTCTTAATCTTACCAAAACACAAAAAAAAAAAAAAAAAATGAAATAATCCGACTCTGAATCATCGGTGATTTGCACAATTTATTTTGTTAAGCAAAAAAAAAAAGAAAATGAAAAAAATATATCTAAACTTTCGATGGTCACAAATAACTGTTAATGTAAGCGCCGGTAGCTGTTCCTCTTGAATGAAATAACAAAATTCTGAATCTTTTGTTTTGTTTTGTTTCAAAGGTACAGAATTCTTGAGACTTTAAAAAGTTGCTCATAAATTTGTAAAAAAATTTCTAAATTAAGTAACCTTACTGCTTCTCAGTCGAAACTTATTACCATTCTTGAACAACCAAATACTGCTGTCTCATTATGAAGGGAACAGCAGCTGTGCAGTAATAGATTAAAAGACTTTGAACTTTGGGTACCTTATAAATTGCAATCTGCAAGTGTTCTCTGGCATAAATTGATATCATAGTCTCCGGTATTAATAGGAAAAGAAAGTGAAACAGAAAAGAAATGTGACGTTATATTATGTATTCAAACAATTCCTCAACCTTTTTCTTTTTGTTAGCCTTTTCTGTCTAAAGTTCGTGACGTTTTCAGCAGTTCCTGTTCTCAAATCAGTTATACTACTGCAGTAAACAATTTTCAAGTACCTTAAATACAAAAAGCCCAAAAAATCAAAAGAAAATGTTGATATATACTCATGCAAAATCGAATTCTCAAGTGCTTGAAAAAATGACGAGAAATGCCAGATTTGCTCTTAGTAAAAACAGAAACAAGATTTACTGTTATTCGTCAACGAAAACTACACGTCATTAGGCCCCGGGAAAATTAAAGGTTGAACAGTTGTGCAGAGATAGAATGATTATACAAAATAATTAGTAATACTTTTTTGTTCTGATCCACAAATCATATTACAGGAACAGTCACTGTCTGATATTTATTTTCAAAAGTTGTACTCGTTAAGTACAAAAACCTGCAGAGTTTATCAGCATAAATAAATCAGATGAAAAATAAGTTTTACTGACCTGAAACAAAAAGTAAAAATTGTATCAAAATTCGTTTATGAATTAACTAGCTTGTTCGATCACAGAAAATTGGTTAAGCAAAAAAGTAAATAATGGTAATGTTAAAATAACTAACCTCTTGAATAATTTCTTACTTCCTTGAGTGAATATATCGTGTTGCACCGCTAATGCTGGTAAGTCAATAATTCTAATGAAGTCCTAAACACTGCATGCAGTAAGACCAAGTTATTGTTGTTGACTGAAATCAATTAAAATATCCAAACCTAAATTTCTTGTGCGTTTCTAACCTCATACCTAACAAGCCAATTTTATCGACATATACATTTAAAATAGTTTAATTCTTTGCATTTTAATTCTGCTCATTATCCATACACTTACAATGACAAACTCTCTACTGTTCGAGTCTCTTGCGCCACTGGAAATAAAAGTCCAGCAACCGAAAAATAAGGATTCCTTGGAAAGAAAAACACACTATAATCCAAATTCAATCTTCAGAACAATTTATTCCGGTACGGTCAGGAAAAAACGCTTTTCATCTAGATCACCAATTATAATCATATACTCTAGCCCTCCAAATATGACACCGTCGTTAAAGAACTGCCTGAGAAGCATTTCTTTTATACTCAAATATTTTTAAATACTGTTTGCTTTGATCAGAAATTACTTTGGAAGTCGAACCATTTAGAGGAGTTTTACATATGGAATCTCAATTATCATATACAAAAATTACTTTTAGCCCCCGTTCCTGCTGTAGTAAGGCTCCTTTTCTTCTAAGCTTTGCTTTACAAGTAAATAGAACTTTGAGTGACATTCCTCTTTCCAAACTTTCAACCATCAATGGTGTAGAAGGTGACAACAGATTCCAATAAGAGATCCACAGTCGAAAAAGTGACAACGACTGTACGACGTTATACTATCAAAGCCCGATTCTTCAAGGCTCTCTTGTCTGACTTTTTTTTTAGTCTATTTGGTCCTTGTCAAGTAACAATTTTACCGCTACGCTTTCCGCTAGCCAACTGGGCTTGTTTCAGACATGTTAGTGAACTGCTAAGGTTCACTTAAAATAGTTCAAAAAGTTGTGGAATTGTCCATTAAGTTATAAAATGTTCAAGCTTTCTTCTAACAAAGTCGCATCTTTTGATTTCTAAGTTTTAAGTCCTCTACACTAAATCTGTAAAAAATATCTGAGCAAAGCACAGTCCTAAAGCATGCATCTTACATTAATTAAAACAGTTTTAAAATGTTTCAGGCTTTGGTAGAGACTAAAATATTTCTAAATTTCCTTACAACGCTGCAGAGCTCCCGAATATTTATCCCAATAAATATTTGGCTAACCAAAAACACCTCAGTCAATAGCAGTACTACACTTTTTTGGTGCACTTAATTAAAGCTCTTATTCAATCAGATTCAAGAAAAACTGCTGCAGCATTATCTGATCTTCATTGTTACATAGGTTAGCAACAATCCCATGAGTTTTTTTTAGACACTATCTTGCAGACAGAATTTTTAAACATTATTTAAAAAAAAAAAGCACTACTATAGTTTTGTCGAAGATATAGCAAGAGTGGCGCTTACAGTGTATATTTGGAGTTTTGAATGACATCATGGAGCTAGAGCTTTTAAGAAACTTTCAAGTTTACTCAAGGTGTAGTTTTTTTTACGCTCGGTATTTTCTTGAACTGATTAGAGTGTGCTTCATGATGTCATTCAAAACTCCAAATATACACTGTAAACACCACTGCTGCTATATCTTCGACAAAACTGTAGTAGTGCTTTTTTTTTTTTTTTAAAATAATGTTCAAAAATACTAGACTAAAGAAATTCTGCTTAGAATCACTTATACTTAAAAGATTTCAGAGCAAATTAACAGACATTGGTGACGATCGTTGCAGTTCAACAAACAACCACTTTTGTTCTGTCAAAACGTTGTACAGTTGCAAAAAAATATATCTCGTACAATCTGTAGATAACGATTTTTCAATAGTTACAAACCTATATTTTTGCACTCGTTCAACAATCAAAATTCATCAGGTTTAACCGGTGTTAATTGTACGACAAGATGAAGCATCATGCTACGATAACAGACAAACGATGATGACAACAGACCTGACAGGTAAAGCGTTAATCATCAGCAGTGCTCTTTGTAAGTGTGGCGACAACGTTGGAAACCAAAATTGTTACCGCCAAAATTTCCCGCGCTTAGAAATTTGCATTGATTTTCGACGTCGTACAGTTTCAACATCGTTTTCCGGATTTGGGTTTACTCACCTCTACAGTGCACTTTTTTTTTTTCTTCTATTCAGAATCCTGAAATTATTTTAGAAATTGAAATTTTACCCTCTATTTTCACTTGCTGCTATTGTTTTTTTTATCAACTATAATTTCCTTTTATCTATATGACTGATACACCGTTAGCGACACTTATTGTGTACAGCTTCAGTTAACATTTGTTATCAACTTAAATCTGTATTGTATCTTTTGTGAACTCGTGAAAACACTTAGAACTAATTAAAGTGTTACGGTTTTCCTCTGCTTTTTAAAAAACATATGTTATAGTTTGTTAATTTTTTTTAAAGAGTTTTTGAAAAAATGTTATTTCTTGTTTTATTTTGTATGTTGTATGCTTTAAACAAAGTTTATGACTGTAGAAAAATTTCATTGCGTATTTTTGTTTTCTACCTCTCTGATTTTAGATTTAGGTGACCTCAAACTTATTAGAATATGGAGCATTACTTACCAGAAATATTTTGGCACGATCGTCAAGGATTGTTATCGGTCGATTTCCAAAAAAGCTCCAAAAAGAATGGCGGGCATTATAAGGTAATTGTTCCCAATCTTTTACTTATTGTCAAAAAACCATTTATAATTCCTACTCTCTACAAACACGAAAAATGACGTTATCAGTGTGGTTTCTGACAATGAATTCTATGATTATTGACTTCTTAGTTGATTATGCACTGCAACTATACAGAATGTCGACTGGATTATTTTTGAGATTGTTACCACCAGTATGCAAAAAGAAGTTCGAATTTGGGAATTTGTATTTGAAAAAGTTTTAAAAGAAGGTGAACGAGACGCTTTAGCGGTGAATTTTATTGCAAACATAACAGGACATCAGGCTGCAGTTAACGTTGCACGATTTTCCCCATCCGGTTTTTGTTTCTTTCAGCTTCTATACAACTCATTTTGTTTGATTAGCGTATATTTTCAATATCTTACTTGCGAACAACGGTTACTGATACTTTGGTTCGCTAGAAATGAAGAGGAGGGAGTTTCAGTGTAGTATTAGAGATTATTAACTTAGTAAGTTTTCTTAAAGTGTTTTCAGTAGTGTAATATAGATAGTGTTTTAGGTGATCTTCTAGCTTCTGGCGATTCTGCAGGCGTTGTATTTATATGGAAGTTTTCTGGTGAAGCGTCACCTTCATCTGTACCACCAGAAACAAATTTTGATGATTTTCCTCTGAATAAAGAAAACTGGGTACGGTTGCGGGCTCCACTCAGGTATTTTTTTAGAGGTGAAGTTGCTTTTCATTTTAAACCGCTTATTTCTTCAGCTATGTATGAATATAGTGTATTTTAATTTAAAATTATTGCCAACAGTGGACTTTAAAACCATCAGGGATGCAAATCCTTCACACGAAAGTGTTATTATAAAGCGTGTAAACACATTTTAAATTATAAAACTAAAATGTCAGTTTAAAAGCAGCAAAGTCATGTAGATTTTGAAGAACTTTTCTAAAGTTAAGGCTGTTATAGTGATTATTTTGTTTATACTACAGGTGTCTTCTACTACTGCTGAAGAAAAAAATTACATTGGGTTTGAAGATCTGATTCAACTTTAATTGTTGAATTTAACTTTTTAGGCATGAAAGTGATGTAAGCGCCATCTGTTGGAGTACAGATGGGCAGTTTTTGGCTTCCTCATCAAATGACGAATCAGTAGTCGTGCAAAATGTTTTGACGGGTAGGCTTGTATTTGCTGTATTGCTGGGTGACTGAATCAAAAATTATTCTGAGATTGGTGCTACTTTACTAAAAGATCTTAATCAGTCTTGGTTTGCTGATATTCAGAAAAGCATTTAAGTTTTGGGAACCAGTTATTTGCAAAGTTTTCTGTTTATAAAGTTTTAAGGGACATTTTGTTTTATCGGCTGTAACTGTGTATGTTCAACCAGATTTCTGCGGTCTCTTTCAGACAGCTGCTGTTTAATCCTTCTTGCTCCTGCTTTGAATCAACTGAAGTTTTTCGGATTTCAAGTCAGTGCATCATTTAGGTCATCGTCTTTGGACAATTACGAATTATAGACGTTTTCCTAACGGAATCGTGTGGGATCCGAAAGGGAAATATGTTGTAACTATGTCAACAGATCGAAAAATGGACATTCTGAGTGCTGAAAAAGGAGCTAAGTTGCGATGTTTTCATGCTGTGGATTTCAAGGAAAAATTTTTGTCTAAAAAGCAGAAGATTGAGGGAGTATGTGTTTTTTTCTTTTAGGCTTTACCGCATAACTGGGTGATATCCTCTTTAAACTGCTTCATTGGTTTACAGGTTTACAAGTTGTTCCACGATGACCAGCTGATTTCTTTCACAAGAGGAGTCGATTTTTCTCCTGACGGTGAATTGCTGATAGCTCCAAGTAGTTTCTTTACTTTAACTTTTTTTTCTTTTTTTGCTCTTTTATGTGATTTCTTTTTGTTCTGCTGTTCATCATTGTTCTCACAATGCAGTCCAAATTTGCTCAGGTGCACATTTGGAAGTCGATGACTCAAATATTTACGGGACATACGTATTTCGACGGCGCGATTTCGATAAGTAATTCCTCTAAATGAAATATTTTATTTGTCTTTCTCATTTGATTTGGATTCCTTCTTATCATCCACAAATTCAGTATTTGATTTATTTCTTCATGGAGATAAGTAATTTAGAGATTGTCCAACCGCTTTTCTAAGATCTCGAAAACCTACTTTTCGTGCTGTCTGTTCACCTATAGTCTTCAAACTTCGATGTGATGTTGCAAAAAATATGTTGGAGTATGGTAGTTTCGCTTCTTTTGTTTTATATTTTAGCGGTTCTTTAACTTTTTGACTGTTCTCTAATTCAAAAATTCCCTTTTCTAGCTTACCGTACCGCATTGTATGGGCCGTGTTGACGTTGGATGCAATTATTTTTTATGACAGTCAGAGTCCTTTTCCTTTTTCTTACGTTGATGGGATTCACTACAACAATCTTAGTGACGCTGCTTGGAGTCCTGATGGAAAAATTCTTTTAGTGTCATCATTAGAAGGTTACTGCAGCTTTATAAGGTGGGTTGGTTAAATAACTTGGACTTTTACTAATTGAAAAATATAATTATTAAACTGTTTTCTCTGAAAATTGAATGCTTATCGCTTTTTTGGTTCGTTGGCGTTTATGACTGCTTCTGGTTCAATTCGCATATAACTGTTAACTTAAAAAAAATTTAAATTTTCTGCCTTCACAATATAGCAGTTAGATTAACTTATCAATGCAAGTGTGGGCAAAAACTAAATTAAAGTTAATCTTTTCTTTTTATTAATAGTTCAATATCATATGTTTGTAAAAACATTTCTTTTGCCTGATGGTCTAACTATTTTTTGCTCTTCTAATTATAGATTAAAAAATTTTTTTATTGGAGTAAGTTTAGACACCAGCCAATTTTTTTGAAGCTAGGGAATCTGGAATATGCTTTTTAGAAATAAATTATGGAGTAAATTGTATATACTTTTTTGCCTACGGCTTTTACTACTGCTTGTTTTGTCACTTTGCATAAGCGTTGTTGCATATGATGTTTTTTTAGGTTTGATTTGTCTCAAATTGGAGCAGTAACGGATCACTCGCTTTTTACTCTTCCGCCATCGCCAGTTTTGGTAATACCAAAGAAACCAAAACGTTCAATTAAAGTTTTACAGAACAAACCTGCAGGAAACTCTGCGAGTACGTGTTGCATGTCTTTTTTCCTACGTAGAGTCAAATTTCTCTGGTGATTTTTACTGTGCCACAAATTGTTTAGTGCTTAATGATTTCAGGTGATACTACCAGTGAAGTAGATGCTTCAGATCTTCAAAACAAGCAAGCTACGAAGCCAAAACCGAAAACTCCTGCAAATTTGATATCTAATTATTTTAAAAAACCTCCATTTAGTCCACTGGAGTCAAAGAGAATAGACCTAAGCAATCCTGCTTTTGAAAAAGATATTTCGTAAGTTAATATTATGAAACTAAAATCCCATCGCATCTTGGTTTCTCATATTGTTAATGTTTCTTTTGGTGATAGGCGCGTAATAAGGTTTGCACCAATTAAGGGAGGCGGTGGTTCAATTCCATTTTCCCATCAAAATACCATTGTGTAAAATTTTAATGACTGACTTTGTTTTGGCAAGAACAAGTGAGTTTAAGATACTTCGCATGGTTAGTACATTTCTAGGGTCTCGGAAGCCGTGAGAAATAGGGATATTTCCATTAAAGGTTTTGAACTCATTTTTGGTGCGTCTGTTTTTTTACGCCTTTAGTTTCTTTGGAATAGTTATCATTGTCAAGGCAACTTTTTGCAAATATATTCGCTAATATACTAAATTAACGACGTTATAGGCGTAAGACTTGACTCTAAAGAGTAGTATTTGCTGAGGAGTTCTGATTTCAATGCAACATTTTTTTGATCTCAGCCTTCCCGACTGGTCGCTCTTTATTCCTAAATTCAGTTATTTCTTGTTCTTAGCGTCAAGCTTCGTTGTAGGAAGTCGGATTACACTGCTACAACCGGTAATATGGAAGTTGAGGCTCCAAGTTCGGAGCCTAAAAAGCAGAAGCGTCGTTTGCAACTTGAAACAATACCACCAGTTATTGACATTGATTAATCTGGAGTTATCTTTTTGCGTTATATCTATTTTTTGCGACCTCATTTCGCTTGCATTTATTTTTATATGTCGCTTCTACTCGCAAAATTTTATAATAGGTAAATCCCTCTTAGAGATCATAAATGATCAAGTGCAAGTATTAGTTTTTAACATGATTGTCGTAAGGCTCAAGACCTGGAAACGGATTCATTTCAGAAGATGCATACTGTGTTATAATGACTGCTTATTTACAAGTAGAGAAGGATCGGAAAGCTCAAAAACTGAAGTTCCAGGTGCCGGCATTTTCCGAAGCTCAATTTTCTAACATACGAGGTTTGTAAAGACCTGCTGTAGGTGTTGGGGCGTTTCTTCTTTTATGTATCTTGTAATGAGTTTTTAACCTGTGCAGGAGCAGTTCTTAACTGGCCATTTGTAGAACTAAGTTTTACGTTATCGTTGTAAATTTCAAGCCTCTTTGTGGCTGTCTTCGTACACTAACACTGGGGCAGTGTGCATGAATGCTCTGCTTTGTCTCATCTGTGGATACTCTCAATTTTCCTTTTTAAAATTGTCTTCGGGGTTTGGGCTGTGAACAGATGTTTAAATGTTTTTTGTAATTTGTCCCTTTTGTTTTGATACTGCTTCAGTTGTACCCTCGCGAAGAAGTGCAGAAAATTTGAAGGAACATTGATTTTTCTTTCAAATCAATTGTTCTTTTTCCTTACATCTGGTCGCTTGATTAATAAAGCGTGTACATTATTTGTTTTCGTAGCATTTCAGTGATTTTTAGGGTTCTAATGGGTGTTATTTGTTGGTGCAAGTGATATGGGAGTGTTTTAGGGCGTGTAACTTTTGTGCCTGTTTTTTCTTTAGCACAGGTGGAAGCGATAGTGTATTTTAATTTTTTCTTTATTTTGGAGGCTTGAAAGTTCGAGTAGGTGCTGTTTGACGAGTGCTGCGATTTGAGGAGATGTTTTGGTGACGTGAATATGAATGCTTGTGGTTTAGCCTTCTGTCGTGCGGTGGTTGGAGACCCGGAGTTTCTCAGAAAATTGGGGAGTTTTTTGGCTGTTATTTTCTGTTGATACGACTTAGGTGGTGACAGAGGCGTATGTGTTTTGGTAACGGAATAAGATGGTTTATGACTTTCTTATTCTTCTTTCACGTAGAATATGTATAAGTGCAGAAAATGCTTCGCGCACGAGTAACGTCATGGCAAAGGCGACCACTAATAGTCGTAAGTCGTTGTTGCACTGCTCAGTCCACTCAACTCTGAAACGACAGGCTCTTTTAATGATGATAACCTGTAGTTGCTAAAATATGCGGAGTAATTATGAGGTTACGGAAGAAGCCGGAGCAAGGTGCCGAAAAAAACTGTTTTGTAGTGAATTCAAAATGAAACTATGTTCTTTGAATACGCGTAACCGACAAAACATAACCTCAGTGAATTTTCTTTTAAAACTTTTCCATTTGGTCGTACTGTCGCATAGACGATCCCTTCTTTTTTAAAGTGCCATTGTGTATTGGTGAAGAAACAACCACAAGTGTTAAGCATACGAAGCCAAATATTTGTTTCTGGATAAATCAGGCAGCGTTCGCAGCTGTCAATGGAGGAGAAAATTTGAACAACATTTGTCAAAGGCAGCTCAATAAATTCAAAAACTTTAAGTCCTGAAAATATGTAAGAGTGAAAGAAGCTGGTACTCCTAAAGGAAGAATCATTTTTTTCTCTTCAAACTTTATGTGCTATTATACTGCGATCAAAAGCCCAGTTATTTGATGCGAAGGCAAGTGGTAAGATTAAATTGGTTTAATTATAAGCTAGATATTTGTATACACATAATCATGTTTCTCTGTACATGTGTTTTTTGCTGAATTTCGTTTTAGAGATTGTCAATTTTTTGTAGCCGAATCATTAAGATTTAAAAGTTACAGTAATGTAAATTATTACTAAGTCAAATAAAATCCTATAGGTTTAAGAACTTCAACGTAGGCTTTATTGTTGTCAAAAACTTAGATGCCACTTCAATATAAAACCATTAGTAACCTTTGATTAATAAGGCCATGTAAGAAATAGTACTTTTAATACCAGACAAAAAATTTTTTTTGCCGTTTTTATTTCCAATAATAATCAGTCACACTTTACTTCACGAGTACTTCAAGATCTAAATTGGTTAGTCATTGATAAGCAGAATTTTTTTAATTTTATTTTGATTCAAGTTTACCTGTTAACGGATGTTTTACTTGTGACATGGGAGTGCCATTGTCATCATTATTTGAGTCATGGAAACTCAATGTCAATATCTTTCTTACACCATCGTTTAGCGTCATTTCGTCTGGTGTAAGCAGTATTTTCAGTATTCTTTGATCGCTATTAGTTGTAATTTCAAATTCAATTGGTTCAAATTGGACGCAGCCATGAACAGCATATTGCTCGATAGCCGTATTGAACTGTAAGTATTTGTAAAAACAGGGTAAATATTTTTTTGCCTTATTCAAATACTTATCAGGTTGGCATACTTATAAGTTTGTGGAAAAAAAACAGCTCTTAACAAGACTGTTACAGTATGTTCGGTAACTTTAATACTGTCAGTATGCAGGTTACCTGTTTAATATCCACTATTCGAAAATTGAGCAAAGAATAATTCTGTAGCATTGGTAACGGTTCTAGTTTGGTCAGTTGTGGAGCAACCGCTGCTGAAAATCTACGAGCTGATCGACTGATCTGTGCAGAAATCGACTGCCTTCTGTTACTTGGCGAATGTACTGATGCCAAGGAATTTCGGGACTGATGTGGCTTGCGGGTTAAATCCATCTGCTATAAAAGACTTTGTCATTTAAAATAGGTGTCTGCTTAAGATTTAGCAGTGTTTAGAAGATTTTTACTACTACTTAATTTTACCAGATTTTTAAAGCTAAATTCAACAGTGGAAATTATCATTGAATTTAAATATAGAAAAAGGGCTTTTTTTAACCATTTAGCATTCATTCGTTCTGCTTTTTATTAATTTATATATATAACATATGCTTATATATTTATTAAATTTTTACTTTTCTGAAGGTTGCACGAATAATAACCTAATTGGATTTGATGAGTCATCCAGTTCCCTTACATATATGACTGTGTAGGGAGTAAGGCAGAAAATGTTAGTATTTTTGAAACATCATATATTTGCTGTGGTTCGTTATTAAACTTGGAATAAATTATTTTTTTTTAAAATTTTTGTGTTTCACAAGTTTTTAGTCATTTTAGCATAGGAACGGGCAAAGAAGAACAGTAATATCTGTATCTTTCTTCCGCATAAATCAAACTGAAATGTTGATCAGTAGGTTTCTTGCTTCCATCTAAGTCGATTAAGCAGCGATAATATAAATTTTTGGTGTACTTCACTTAGTGCAACAATTTTTCGAACATTTCTACGAGGTTGTGTTTCAGCGTTTGAGGACTTGTTGAATCATTTTTAAAGTTGAAGGAGAAACAAGCAAAAGTCCTTCCTTGGCGGCACCATTTAGATAGTAACGATGTGTGAAGGCAAAAGTCAATAAAATAGCTTAGACTGGTTTTGTTCAAGTAATAAAGCTCACTTTTCTTTCTTTTCTCTTGTCTGTTGGATGTTGATACAAGTGGTATTAACATAAAGCAGAGTTACTTTTTTTGCTTATTAAGGCGTCTAAAAATTGAACAGTTTTGAAAATTCCGCATGTTTTATAAATGTCCAAATGGAGTTTACATTGTCTTAAGACTCCCTATTTCAACAGTGCCAATCACAGACAAGAATTAGGAAAACGAGGGAGAAAGCAGAAGATGAGGAAATTAGGATTGATAACGAAACAGAAGATGTCAACAGAAGGTAAGTGGAAAAAATCTAATGTGTAGTGATTAGAAGGGCGAAGTTTTAAATTCGCAAATGCTTGTAAGATCTGTCGCTCAATTGAGTGGGCTCTAAAATGAATTTTTTTCTATAGTACGAAGTATTTTTATTTAATCATTTAAGATGAGATAAGTTTAGTGAACCCTGAACTATAGCTTGCCTTCGTCAAAAGCCAAGCCGTTTGACGCAGAGAACTCTCCTTCACTTTTTCACCATTTCCTCACCTTCTACAAAGAGGAAAAGCTTTCATTAATAAACTATTTTTGGTTTGCTATATAGAGTTGGCATCGATGGGATGGCATTTTTTCTCTTTATAGTTAAAATGAATACGACTTGAAACTGAAGCTTAGCAGCGTATTCTCTTACTATAGTCACAAATAGTTTTATTTTTTTTAGCTCATCTAGGTATTGCTGCATAGGGTGGAAAAAACTTGCGAATTGAATGAGGCAAAGATCATGCGAACTTCTAAATCTATGCTTTAGCGTGATTCAGTGTCTGAAACGTTTGTTGTCTACTATTTGTCTACGTGAAAGATTGATGATGCACGAAAGAAAAAACGACAGTATTTTATGGGGGTCTGTTGTTGCCACTAAGACTGTTGATGATGATCGTTAAAATGGAAAAACAACAGTTCCGTGAAGTTTGTTTGTTTGTCGTTTCCTCCTTTTTTTTTCTGTCTACTTTTTGGCTCTTGTCCTAAGTATCTGACAAAACTGGTAGATATTATACAAAAGTCAAACAGGTGTTATTAAGGATATTAAAAGATGATTCCAAAGCAGCTGATACGAAGCGTGACAGATGAATGCTGATTGAGCACAATAACAAATATCTTGTCTTTAAATAAAACTCGGCAGTTTACCGAATTATAAGAGCATTCATAATGTACATTCATTAGTGAGAAACAATAAGGAAAAATGGGATTTTCATCTTATGATGAACCGGTGAATAAAAATGAAAGGAATAAGAAGCAAAAGAAGGGCGGCACAAAAGTTTAGTATTATAATATAGTCAATTAGATTACTGGGTTTTGCCTTTTTTATTTTTCAGAATCCTTTAACGTCAGCAAGACAAATTGTTGTTCCACGGTCATAAAATGCAGTTTATCACTTTAAAGTAACATCAGTAAGATAGTACCAAATGCAATAACTACCGGCAATTGCAGCACGGTAGTTTATATAAAAAGTCCTCTTTTGAAACTGTTAGCACTGTAGAACTAATGTACGAATTTAATTTGATGAGAACCAATCAATTGAAGCTATTAATTGGTCTGAATATCCAAATTTAACCAAACAAACTGACAGGGAAAAAAATATTTGCTTTTGAGTTTAACAGAAAACAACAACGAAAAAGACATAGAAGTGAAGAATTTTTGTTTTTTTTTTCAAAAAAATATCATTTTGTCTTTCATTACCGTTTCCTTCATCACCAACTAAATCCTTTAACAAAGTTTGTAGCATGCTCCAAAATTAGGATCCTTTTAAGAGTAAGCGAAAGTCATGGGAATGAAATATTCATGGAAAAAAGAAGGTGTAGACTTTTAGTTTCTGTTGATTGGTGACCGTCGATTGATAACGGTGAGAAAGAAGATGAGGAAAACGTTTAAAAACGAAAGAGACCAACAGCAACAATAACATAATATGAAGAAAAATGCATTTTTTACCGCAATTGGCTGATAATTTTAAAGTCAATAGAAAACGAAATTGAGAAAAATAAGGGTAAAAGAGGTCTTAAAATTGATACAAAAATTATTGAAGCTCTCAGATTGTCACGTGAATAATGGAGGGGATATTTACGTCTGTTTGAATGAGAAAATGAGATGATTAGAAGGAGAAGAAGAAGAAGGAGAAACTACGAGAAAGGAGATGAATAAAATAATAATAAAATAAGCCTTATATTATAAAAAAAAGCAACTTATTTGGACCATTAACTTAGGACAGGATCAGTTTTTATTGATGATGAAAGGAGATATTACAGTAATACCAAATGAGGAAGAACGTACGGTTGTTACTGCTGTTATTACTGTCACTACGACCAATACTGATACTGATGCCACCTGTATTGCTACTGCAACTAATAAACGGTTTACTTTTATCTTTGGTTTTCGGAAAAGATGAGCAGTTTACTAGAACAACAAAAAAATTAGAGCAATCAATACATCAAAATGCTAAAATTTTAGCACTAACAGCAGCGAAAACAACAACGAAAAGGAGAAAAAAGTCATTTTCTCACTGCTAACCAATTTTTTTTCTGCAAGATGGAAGACAGATAGTATGGCTAACACGTGGACATTAATGATAGTCGTCGGCAATGATGACAACAAAAACAAAGTGCTCTGTAATAACTATGACAATTAAATGTTGTTCAACACTTATAAAATTTGCTTGCAGTAACAAAGAAAAAAGCAATTTTCAAAAGAATAAAATTGAAATGGTTATGTATCCAACGTGACATCAAAGAACTGCCTGCAAGACAGTTAGTTTATTTTGGTTAAAACCTTTTTGGCACTTCAGCTTCTGTCAAAAATCTCTTCTGCCATTTTTTCTTCTTCCACTTTCTGCGGAGCAACCTTTTTCAAGTAGACTTTTCTGTTTGTCAGCTGGTCTTCCAAAAAGAATAAACTTTTGAATAAGCGAGACGTTTGGGATTTTTAGCTACCTCTTATACAACTTAAGTGGTATGTTTGAAAGAAGCGTTTTTTTTTTGACTTTCAAGCTGTTACAATTGTTTTGTAAAGTTTGGTAGACCATATTTGGATGGCGGAATAAATAGGCAATCACAGTTGGATATTTCACCACTCCAAAATGCAACATTCACTCATTTTGTCCGTCAGAGTTTTCATTATCAGCATAGCACACTGTTCGTCGATAGTTTAACCAGACAAGTCTTATCATGTTCTCCCGCTATCCCCGCTTACTCCCCTCAGTCCTTCTGCTCTTCGGCTTCCCTAAACCTCTTCTTTCTTTCCTCTTAAAAAAACTTTTGAAATATAACAACAAAATATATAAGGCAACCTATATTATTTTTTTACTAAAATATTCAATAAAGACTATCTAATTATTCTATACGATGAGAAGAAGTGAAACAGTTTTTCATTACACTTTTTTACTGCTCAATAATGGTCATCAGTCGTTTTTGAGAAGCGAAAAAAAATTACTGAACAACGACAGCCTTAACAAACTGCTAAAAAAGGATAATGGAGAAAGCTTTAATTGGTGA